ATGGCCAAGGCAGAAGGATTCGAGAACATAGGGTTGCGAAAATCGGCTAATCCGAATCTTTTCATCTCGATCGCAAGTACCGATATAGCGACCATCATTGCTAACAACCACACTTGTGAGAAGTGAAAGATGGCCCAAAACTTCATCCTGATCTTCAAAATTCGTTTCATCGGAAGTAGAACCGTCGATCGCTATATTGAAAACATGGCCCGACTTCTCTCCCAACAAGATAGACTGTTCGGTTGGGGAGAAGACCAAACATCCAGCCTTTTTACCCAAAGTTCTAGGAAAATTAATTTATATATAAAGCAATTTACAATTCCTTAAATAAATTCCAAGTAGTTCCGTCAAATTTCAAAATAGTTAACGTTTTATTAGTATCACAAAATGCGAAATATTCACCAGACGAAGATAAACAGCCGCACAATATACCTTGAGGAACACTTCCATTATATTTCCTAAAAGACGGGTTACTAAAAAAGGAATCCTAATTACGAGTCCTCAAAAAAATCGGTCTTTAGCCTCGAGAAATTTAGTCTAAAGAAATATTTCACAAAAATCAAAGCTACTCTTTGTCATAACAACCGATAACAGTGCCAGCATTGGCAAAGAAATAGGAACTATCAACACGCGAGCAAAGCATGTTTGGAAAGCTCCGAGTTGGCGCCTTGGTCACTCAATTGTGTAATTCTTTCTTATCATTTATTTTCAAGACAATACTTGAGATTTTAATCAAAATATTTATTTATTACATTTTAAAATTAAGTTGTTGTTCGTTTCTTTTAAAAGTTTCTTTAGCAAATAAATATGGAAATTTTCCTTATTTCTGCTAGTTATAAAATTCGCAGTCTGTGTGATATCAAATAGTAAAAATGGTAATTCGTTTATTAAAGTTGACAATTTGTTAATCTATTTAATTATGTACATTATTGTCGAGGTCTTCCAATTCGTGCACTTTTCAAATTGGTTAGCTGTTTTCAGTTGTTCCCCGTTTTTCACATTTAGTATGGTTTTCGGCTGTTGTCTTACAAATTACGTTTGAATTTAATTAAAAAATTCATATTAGGTTCAAAAGCTTTTAATAACCATTATACGGGTAAATTTTTTGCTGACTTATAGTGAAATTTCTTTATTTTCAGCAATGGGCGAATGTCACGATCGGTCTTTTAATATTCTCGATTCTGCTCATCAGGTAAATTAGACTGTCTTTGTTCTCATATTCTGGCTTAGCTGATGTCTCCGCTTCGTCAAACACGTCGCCAAATAAATGTTCAATCAAGGTATGCGCACTTTATTGTCCTCATTTCCACTCTCAATTTTTAGACACCCTATTGTGGGCCAGTATGACTTTCGTTTAGATCTTAAAGACACCCAATTAACCAAAGAATACAAACTCTACAGTGGATCAAACGGCAAACGAGTTCTTTTTGTCAATCGGGATAGACCTTTCGTATTGCGCATCCTGTTTCGGTTACCTCTGACGCCTTCTAACCTTTGGATCCGTATTATTCCATTGTTCACTTCGCCTTCAAGGCGTAATGAAGCAGTACTGAGGTAAGAGTTAGCATCCCTAGAATTTCCTGTATTGATATAAGATAATTGTGTCAATACACATTGGAATAGCCTAAATGGCTTTGTGATTTTCTATTTAAACTACTTTTGTAGAAGTTTAGTCATTTCACTGAAATTGTCATCCGAATTCGATATTCAATTGTTTAGGTACCTAGGTACATGAAGATTCCCATATTCTCCCGCTCAGAATCAACGTTTTCTTTCGTCCATTTTATGTATGCAGGCGTCGACACTTATTTGTCAAAACATCTAACCTTTCTCCTCCGACTTAATAGTGATGTTATAACCCGACAAAAGACTAAACTTCTTTTTAGGACTTCACAAGGGAGCGCTTAGGGGAATTGTAATCAAAATATTGTTAAAGTCTTCTCGTTGCACAACTCACATATCTACCATCCCTTCATTTTTGCTCTTCTAGTGTTAGTAATTAAGTTCAATTGACACGCTCCAGTGTTATTCAGTCATCTGATTTCCATCTTGATAGTTGCCAGTCCTTGACCTTCTTTTATCTGTTATTGCTAACGTATTTTTAGATGTGCTAACCATACCTGCCAATCAGTGGCCAAATCTCCGGCTGCCTCTGTCGCGTGTCCTGTGGAATCGTCACATTGCGCCGATGCCTCTCGAAGTCTAATTTGCATCCAGAATCCCCTGGCCAAGTGTTGTTACTTAGAGGGTCATTTAACTGTTCTCCTGCGTCTCGACCAATGCCAGTTGGCGATGGGTGTGAAACCACCCTCACCGTGTCCTAAAAAACGTCGGGGCTCGGTAAAAAGTAGTCCACACGCTCCCCTTCAGGATTCGCAATTTCTACCTGATGAATGCACACCGAGTTATCCTATGGGAGTTGCGTCGGAGGATTTGGTGTGTAGGCTCGGATGCTACAATAGCTGTTTCGGTGGTCAGCCAAAGGGTGGTATTGAACTCATTGTTAGACTGGAAGAATTACCTGAGTAAGTTTAGCTTTTGCGTTAAGTCTGCTTAGTATAGTCTTGATCGCCTCTTGTTCCTCCTCCTGGAGGTTACTTCGTTAGTGAGTCGTAGTTTGAGGACTCCATGTTTGCACCAGTAAGGTAGCAGTTAATTTACCATTCTTCTGGGTCATAGGTCACAAAATCAATGCTTCTCTATGTTATCGCTCCCTACTACCTAAATGCTTTTCAATAATTCACGTTTTTCCACACGGTATTCTGTAGCTGTCAATCTGAGTATAAATACACATTCTATCACCCTCTTATTGGCCATATTAAGGTATTAGCTTTGGTCATCCATTTAATCGCTTTTGGACCTATGCGCATCGATTTCTTGAGTATCAGCTACTTGGTAAATATGCACCCTGCATCATCATCTCTATGCCATTAATTCGTCCTCATCTGTATGCGTGTTTTGGCTGTTTGCTTCATCATTCGCTAGACTATGATTTCCTTCATTCTCTAGAGACCCAAGCCTTCCACCGATTGTTCACGGCCTTGACAGTGTGGAAATTCACTGCTCCTCCACTCCAGCTAGGGATATTCGTAATTACGCCGAGAGTATTGCCGAAGCGAACAGGAAAGTCTCTGCAAACGCTCCCAAGCAAAGCGTCACCAAATCATCGTCCTCATCATCGTCTTTCAATGTCAGCCGTCGAGGACTCGCAGCATCTTCGGTAGTCACCTCTAGTAACATTTTGAGCAGCGGCACCAGTCGATCGAAAAGACGTCTTGCTCTAGCTGGAGGTAACTTAGGTGGTGGAGAGTGTGCCCCAAGGAGAAGAGGTCGGGATGATGACGATGATGGCCTTAGTATTCTGTCCCAGTCGTCGTCGGCTTCATCTCAAAATCTAACGACAACCCCTACTCCATTTCCCAGCACTGGTACTACTACTTCGGCCTCCATTGAAGTACCAGATAGCAGAGGAGTGAAGAAGGTGTATTACCTGGTTGTTACCGATTCTAGGGAGAGAGCGGAGCAGTACAGGTTCTTTGACAATTCTGCAAAGGCGTTTGTCGGGTCCCGAATGAGCACGAGCCTTTTTGCTGCCTATGGCAGGGAGTGCTTACGAATTCAAAATAGGATGTAGGTAGCCCCCAACCCCCACCCTCTCTGCTATCTCAGGACAGTTGATGGCTGGGGTGTTTCATTTCTTGCGTTAGAATAATTTGAATATTCCACCTTAATTGGTTTAGTGAAAAGTGTGGTGGGAAGGGGGGTGACTCGCTAACGTGTGTATTCCTTTTCTTTGTTTTAGAGCTCAATTTTATTCGGCCAGTTCGGAGAATTGTCAACCGCCATACTGACAATGAGACACAAACGATGAATCATCATCCTTTCTTATCTGTTTGAATTTTAATTACAAGTCGCTTCCATCTTGGGTAATAATAAAATATTTATTTATTATCAAATGGCAGCTATTTTGATAGTTTCATTAGACCTTTAGGTGACTTCAGGCCTCACAGCGGAGAAGAAATATCAAAGTGAAAAAATTCGAGAGGGCGGGGATGGGGAACAGAAGAGTGTTTCAAAGATGTAAAAGAGACAGACACAAAGTTAGAGAAAATGGTAAGGTGAGTACTGTGGTAGGGGTCGAATATGACATGCAGTGGGGTGATGGTAGTTTGGAGTCAGAAGTCAACCGTCAGTTAATAGACTGTTTTGCCATATAAGTCTACGTTACCCAGGGTGCACCACGTGGAGGTAAGTCTATTGCACACCCCATCTATTTATCATATGGTTAAGCCTTTGTTAACCAGCAGAATAAAGCCTGTTCATACCAGCGTGCAATTCACCTGAAGTGCAACTTTTTAGCGAAATTGGCCGAGTATTATACGTCAAAATGGAAATACCATTCTATGAAATATGATTTCTTTCGATCAGTGTTGCTGTTCGCGCTTATTTTTTTCGAATCACGTTCCCCAAATACCTTAAAAATTTACTTTCATACTAATACCGAGTGGGTGCACTTCTAATTTAAAAATAACCCGCGTCTGTTTGCTGCGGTACGGTTTCACTGAAAATTCCTGTCTTGGTGACGCCATGGGAGGCGAGCTCTTGACCTTGAAAATGCATCACATTTTTGTCGGCAGACATATAATTCTTTATCGCCTGTCACCAATGACCCTTATATATCAGTTGAAAGTGCTATGTGTGATAAATATGACTACACATGTTTTTTTTACTTCCGTGCTATTAATACACGGGAGTAATTATAAAGTAGTACAAACTGTTTTTCCCATACTTCCTACATATTTTGCAATGAAGACAACGTTGAGATCAGTTTGATTATGTATTCGAAGTAATCCTTTTATCCATTTGTACATTAATCAATCAATGCTGATTTGCCAAATCGATCGTTGTTGATTTATTGGTAGAGGTTGACGCGGTCATGTCTTAGAGATGCCAAGCTGCCTTTATGATCGAAAATCTGATTTTAAGGAAGCTGATTCGATTTTTCTGTTTACACAGCTTGCTTTCTTGTTCTCACACTTTCATTGATTAAAGGTGTAGTTTCAAATTGAAGGTAATCGATTTCTAGGGGTTAACGCACCGTAACCTGATTGTAGTAGCCAAAGCGGTAGTTAACGTCTAATTAGGGCAAATTACATTTCCAAAAACGACAGACCAAAAAGGTTTCTTAGGCCCGAGCGTATCAAATACGTCACATTGAGGAATCGATAGAGAGTGAGACAGATGATGGGGGGGGGGTGG